GGCCATACTGAGGGATAGGGGTATGGGAAGTAAATAATGAAGGTGAGGGGGGAAGGGAGCACTAGAACTGATCATGATTGCACAGCTCATTTTATAGGTGATTTAACTATGGGGGGGGATGCTCCAAGATAAATGCGGTGGTGATTGTACAATATGATTGAACTATTTCAATTGTATGATACGTAAATTATGTGTCAATAAAACTGTTGGGACAAAAACAACAACAGTACAGAGGGAAATGCACAGGAAAGTGTTAACTGCAATCCCTAGATTGAATTCAGAATTGTGCTTTATTTGGGTGATGGATTTTTCTCTTTTCTCCTACAAAGAACAATGGCTAATTATGTAACATGAAAAAGGTTATTTTAAAACACTTAACATTTGAAAACTAGAAATTATTTTTAAGAACACAAAACAATAATAAACAGAGTCCTTTGGGAATGGAAACACTTTTGGAAACTACAACAGCATTGTAACCTCTCCACCTTTAGCCTCAAATGATACTGGACGTGGGATTCACATACCTCTTTCAAAGACAGGGTTTTGAGAGTCTGAGAGAAGAAGGGCTGGTAAGAGAAGCTGAGCTGAACTCAAACCCAGGATTTGGGAATCCACGGACCCTTGTCTGATCCCTGTCCCCAACTGAGAGTAAACCCAACCTCCTTGGGGTGCAGTGGTATTGCTCAACCCTACCTCTACCATCCCATAGAATTAGCTCTTTCAAGGCACTCCTGATCTCTATGTTGCTAAGCCAATGGTCACCTTGGACATCTGAGAAGCTTCACCTTGGACATCTGGGAAGCTTCTTCCCAGTTGGTCTCTTTCCCGCTGGACAGCTTCCGGGTTGTGTCTATTTGATCGGCCACATTTTTTCGGTGCTCTTTGCTGGTTCCCTTTCATCTCTCCAACCTTGTTATTTTAGAGAGCCCAAGGTCTTTCTAACTATACCTCTTGCTTTGATGATCTCATCCAGTCTCAGCTTTAAATACACCTTCACAAACTAACAGAGCCCCATTTTCCACCTCTGACTTTGCATCTCATCCCTGGACGGAAGACTTATACACGACAGCCTCAAAATGCTCATGGGAAAATGGAACGAAACGATGATGTCATTTTCCATGAACTTTTTGAGGTCACCTTGTGCATTCCACCCCACATTTCCATTTGGACTTCTAAAGGGCATCCCGAACTTGATGTGTCCCAAGCAGACCTGCTGTTCTGCCCACCCTGTCCCAAGTTATTCCTCTTTCTCCATCTCAATCGATGATGGCTACCCATCCTGGTGCTCAGGCCCCAAACCTGGGGGGTCACAATGGACTCTTTTTATCCCTCCCCACATTTAAAACCTATGGACTCTACTTCCAAAGCATATTCCTTTCCATATTTACGCTTCTCTGTGTTCTTGGGCTGGACCCCCAGCTCACTCCCTTGGATTACTGCCACTTGGCTTCCTGCTGTTTTTTCTTCCCACTCAGCAGCCAGCACAACCCCTTGAACATGAATGGGATTATGTCATTACCAGGCTCCAACTTCTAATGACTTCTCATTTCACTCAGAGTCAATGCTGGTCTTTAGAACGCTGCCATAGCCCTACGTGAGATGATCCCAGTCCCTTTCCTATCCCTCACCATCCTTCTCACTCCGTCTGGCCCTGGCCCATCAAGGTGTCCTGGCAGCATCATGGGTTAAGCATTGGGCTACTAACTCTGAGGACAGCAGTTTGAAGCCACCAGCTGTTCCCAGAGAGAAAGAAGAGGCTTTCTATTCTTGAAAATCCATAGGGGCTGTTCTACTCTGTCCCATAGGGACACTGAGTTGGAATTGACCCGATGGCAGTGTTTGCTTTTTGTGAGGCTCACCCTTCAAGGAACCCATCTGCACGCGACTCGGGGTTCCCTTCAGGGGGAACTAAGTTAGCTATTGGGTCATTTCTGCATTTCCAGATGAAAGGAGAAAGTTCTCAATGGGAGGATGCAGAATCTTGGGGCTATGAATCCACTTGTGAGTCCTTCAGATCTACTTTAGCTGGGAATGGGGGTGTCTTTTCAAGGAACGTTAAACGCAAGGGCCTTAAAGAAGGCTGGTGCTTTGGGTCTGTATGACAGGCAGTGTGAAAGGCATTTAAGTATGTGCATTGACTAGAGCATGTAAATATAAAGAGATCATTCCATGTGTTACAGGGCCATGGATCGAGTTTTAGTCTGGAACCAGCGTGAAATCATTTCTATCTAGACAATCACCATGGCTTTGATGATGAGACTGAGCCTTCTTCCGAGCTTTCTTAAATGTGGGGCCTTCATGTTGAGATGCTTTTATTTTTAGAATTTTGTTGAGAAGATGCACAGTGCATACACCAATTCAACACTTCTACATGTACACATCAGAGACAATGATTACATTCCTTGAGTTGTGCAAACACTCTTGGTCCCTGAGTTAGTTAATTGTGCCAGCCTAGCCGATAATCACGTGGGGCTAATTGAAATGTGGAGAGATAAATGGGTGGTGAGCCTTGCCTTTCTAGTTCTCGGGTCTCTTGCTTTGTGATGGTCGCACCTGGGTGCAGCTGCCTTAGCAGTTCCCTGCTTCAGCTTGCAAGATTGACTTCCTACAAGACATCCCCAAGGAGAAGCTACATGGACCTATCCCGATGCAGCCCTGGGTGCTGGAGCAGCCGTGTGGAGACCCCTGCTAGTGCTGAGTTGATTGTTCGTTCACTGACTCAGCTTTCCTCCTGCAGTTGGCATCATTGCCTCTGTTTTGTGAGGTGGAGGACTTTGTGGGCTGGTGTTGGGTTAATGTTGGACTTGTGGGCTTGGGATGTTTTTGTGATGCACCTTTTCTTTACATAAAACTCTCTCTTATACACGAGTCGCTGTGGATTTGTTTTTCCAAAGTACCTAGACTAATGCAGCCCCCTTTTCCAAATGGTTTCTCCCCCATGAATGTAACCTCACTGCTCCCAAGGTTCCTTAGATATTGATGTTCCTAATTGTTACACTTGTGCGCACTCTCACTCTTGGACTTCCTACAAGAGACAAAGACAGAGAACAGTTCATCAGTAACCTCAGTGACCAGGAGGTTAGGGCTAGCACGGCCCCTGAGACCATCTAGTCAAAGCCAACCAACCCCAGCGCTGACACTCGAACTCAAACCTCCTGCCTCCCAGTGTCAAGTCCTCTTTCCACAGTAGCCACTGGGGACATTCCAAGAAGACAGTCATCTGTAGGCAAACTGCCCTGACAATTTTCAGATTCAATTTCAACAAAGTGTTACTATTTAAGTAAGGCTGCCAGAAAGATAATGGCGTTGAAGAGAGGCTCTGGAAGCTATAAAGTACTATACAAAGGTTAGCTATCTGTGGCTCACCGCCAAGGTCAACAAACTCAGGCCTGGGTGGAGGGCCAGCTCTGAAACCGAAGGAGCTAAGGCTAGGCCAGTCCTTCAAGGGGCCCTTTCGGAATGGGACACCAGTGTATTTACTAGCATCAAGAGGACAGTGTTTGCCCTGTGTGCTGTACCCACGCCTTTATTTCAAGGACAATAGTTTAGCTGGCTAGAATCAATGCTTACATTATACATTTGTGCTCAAACCTCGTTTTCCTGGCCTCCTTTCCTCTCACTAGTGTTTCGGAGGTCAGAGACTAAGCTCTAGCCACCTGCACTGCTGGCTGGCGGGGCGTCTCTCCACGGTTCCCAAGCGCCTGGGCCCATTAGTTCTCCACTTCTGGGCTAGTTGTCATTGGTCCCAGCTGCATTTGAATTTTGACTCTGCACACACTCTGGCTCTCAAAACCGCATTCTTTTGCCTTCACACTACCTCCTTTGTCATCCGACTGAATGAGCATTGTTCCCCCTGCCTTGGCTCATGAAAGGGGATCCTGATGCAGAGTAAACTGTACATTTTCTGGCCTCCCTGAGCTAAGCGCTCACCACGTGGCAGTCTCTAGTGACTTTCTCACATCAGGTTAACGATCTGGGTCTGGGCACAGGTTGAATGAGCCCGTGAAGAATGGGGGAGCCAATCGCAAAGCCTTATCATGGTGAAGCTGAGAGACAAAGCTAGCTTTGGCCGGCACCCTCCTGCCCTTCTCCCTACGGGCCTTTTTCTTAAACTGTCCAGGCCGATGGCATTTCCGTGGCAGGCATTTATTCTTCCGGGGCTCTAATCCAGGCTGCTGCACTGGGGCACCGTCTCAGATGTTTCTACACTTAAGGGCTTGTAAAACAGTGCAACACAGTAGATAAACTTAGAGGAAGCCTGTTCTCAGATAGAAAGAAGGCTCTGCTTACTTCTCTCTTGTAACAGGAGTCTTGAAGAGCCCACATTGAAGGTGCAGAGAAGGGGTGGAGGAAGAACAAGGGCATGAGACTCCCATGCCCTTGCCAGCTTTTCTTGCCCCCACTCGTTTCCCAAGTGATATGCACCGCATACAAAGCGACAGACTCGGAGGGAAGCGTTCTACTGCTTTAAGGCTGCCACAAACCAAACAACAAACCAAACAGGCAAAGCCTGAGGATGGCCGTGGAGGGTCCAAGCCCTTACTCAAGATTTTTACTTGTAGCATCAGAACTTGTTGGGCAGTGGAAATTAGGGAATGAAAGGACTTACCGAGTTCTAACTGATTTGCCCAGTATCATTCTAAGGAACTTGACTAGGATAGTAGTTTACCCTTTCACACACACTAGAGCTCACATGTGGACTATGCTTCTTAACCAGCTAGCTGCCTTGTGGATGACTAAGTAGGTGGGTTCTAGGAAGGGGACCCTCTCTTTATCTCTTAGCCCGTTGGATCCAAATTTTTTGCCAGGCTTTGAGTGCTGAGACCAAACAGCAGCTGCACACCTCGATTTCCAGGTAACAATCCCCTCAACAACCCTTCACCTGTCTCCCCTCGCAACCCCAAGAGTGAGAGACCGCCAACCAGACAGAAACATGAAGCCAGGTGGCTTCACAAAGAAAGCACTCGAGGGAAAGAAAGAGGCCGGTTCCAGGCATTTGGTAAACTGAAAGCAAACTTCTTTATTGTACACAGTACAGAATATAACGCAGCTTGGCAGGATGCATACGGCCCTGCGCAGGGGAAAGTAGTCCAAACCAACCGGCAGCTTAAAGCCTGTCTGCACTGTGGGCTTCCACACTCTGGAAAAAGAAGCCAAAAACAACACAACACCCCCCACCCCCACCCAACCAAAAACCCATCCAGGGGTGCACGAGTCCTTTGGGGATGCAACGGTGGTGCCTCCATCCTCTGCCCTGGGACAGCGCAGGCCACTCGGTCACAGAGGGGAGGGGAGCTCACAAGTCCCTTCCTACTCAGAAGACAGCGAAGATCTACCGCCTCCCCAAACGAAACACCCAAACCAGGAGAAGTCAAGAAAGGAAAAACAAATCCTATACAGCATTTACAACAAATAAATCTTTAGCCAGCTGGGGTAAAATGTGCATATATGTAGAGACTATGTGTAGGTTAGAAAGCTATAAATACGGTCTGGAAAGACTCGGTTGATTAGAGTACAATGCTAATTAGGGCCCAAGCTGTTGGTTCAATACCTTTGGGGGCCAATTAGCTTCCATTAGAGGAAAAGCCTTGTGTTTCCATAGCTATAAAATCCATCTCCCCTTCACCCCCTGAGCCACGTCCCAAATGTGCTCTTGGTCATGTGGGGGACTTGGGACCAGAGTGAGCCTGAGTTTCATTTATAGAAAAACCAGCTCAGGTCCTTGTCTTCTGCTCCCCGAGCCAGCCTGGTCCCCCTCACCTGTCCCTCTCCACAGGCTCAGGGGTGTGGGGAGCACCGAGCTCCAGCGCCCGGCAGGGATCTGCCTGCCACCTCCCATTAACAGTTCGTCTACTTTGAGCTCCACTGATATGTAGCTTTAGCTGGGCTGTTGAAACACGTTTTCAGTATAAGACAGCAACTAGAATACACTTTTCCAAAGAAAACGGTGTCAGGAAGCTAAAAGGCTAGCGCTGTGTACCTGTCTGCGCCACACAGAAGCCTCAAACCCCATTGAGTCATATGCAGGGTTTAAAGTCCAAGATGTAACGATAAAGGAAAACAAAGCAAACGGGTGAAATGGAAATTGTCGTCAGTCATGCCCAGAAAAGTGTCCCTACGGGAATTCCCAACAAGTGGGCCAGTTTCAAACGGGCAAGACGAGTATTATGTACACCTGCTTTCCAGAGAGGGCATGGTACTGAACATGGGGAGCTATACACATGGAATTGAAGCTGGGTGCCCAGAATGCCCTGCACACTTCAAACATGTACAACTCGGTGCGGCTGTTCCCTCCGGCCGTCTGGTGCAGAAAGCACAAAGGGGGCCACAGACGGGCTTCGACCTGGCTTGGGAGAAGCCCCCCGTAAAGCCCCTCTCAAGCTGCAGCATCTTCATAAGTCGGCCTGGCCCTGTCGAAAGGACACGGTGCGCAGTTACCAAAAGGTTGGCTTTTTTTTTTTTTTTTGCTTTAAATACCAAAACTACAAAAATCAGTTTATAAACTGTTGTTGGTTTTAAACTCCAAAACCACCACCCAAACAAAACAGTGCCCAAATGAAAGCAAAATACTGTCGAAAGTGTTCACCACCCTCCTCTGAAATGAAAGCCATCCGTACAGTCATGACTTGGGAAGAGGAGGGGTTTGCTTGAGTGCGTGGCCACATGTCCAGAAGGTCCCCAAGAGTCCTGCTGCTTTATTCTTTGAGAACCAAGGAGTGGGGGGTAGCTGTTCTGACCCTCCCCTCTGCTTTCTCTACCAAGGGGAATCAGTTTCAATTGAGCTCCAAATTCCAAGACGTATTGTAAACCCCCCACGGTCTGAACCTCCACAACAGCCTGGTTTCTCTATGGATTTGTGATTTTTCAAGACGTTGTGCAAATCAGAGCCCACCTGCATCAAGGCAGTTAGCAGTCCACGATCAAAGAAGATTGTCGCACACTCACCTGGTTTGCAGGGATTAACCTGACCAAGGTATTGCTTTGCATATATTGTCCATGGCAAGGAGCCTCCATTTCAATCCCTTTCCAGAAACCTCATCAGAATCAGGGCCGAGGCACCAGCCCCTTTTCCTGGGTGGTTTTTCTGGCCCACCCCCTCCCCGTTTCCACTTGCTAGCCCAGGTGTCTGTCTTTAAGGGTGACAATCCGAAAATGGCTTGGGCTCTCCAGATAATACTCAAAGGGCAAGCTTCAGGAACAGCCAAGAACACAAACAAAACCACTGCCCTCGTTTGCCTGAATGGGAACTGCTAGCTCTAGGGTTTGGCCGCACAGCCACTGAGAAACTTAGTAAGCAAAGCCTTCAGCGTAGGGGAGGCTGCCGCAGCGATCCACATCCAGGAGGTAAGCGGGGTTGTCTTCAAAGTGGGTCAGTGGCAGGGTGTCCTCCTCGTTGAGGTGGCACTCGGACTCGGCCTTCAGGAATGGGCGCTGATTGTCAGGAAAGGCCATGGAGAAAAGGGCATCCGGGTCACAGACGAATTTGTAGACGTATCGCTCGCCTGCCACCTGAGAGAAAGCAGACCACCTTCAAGACCCAGCCGGATAGGAAAATTACAATGATGGGGATGGCAATCAATGACATGAAACAAAATGTGTACGGATTGTTAAATGGAAAACGGATCTGGCTTTGTAGACAGACCTTCACCTGATTCGTAATAAAGTGGTAGAACACAGGCCAGCTGAAGAGGGCCTTTGAGTAAAAGGAAGGGTAGAATAATGAGGTATTTGTAAGTCACCCAGCTCTCAGGGAGCAAGGGACCAAGGGAAGCTCATTAGCTAGCTAATTAGTCAAATCAGGTAGCCTTACTTTGATAAATCTCAGGAGCTTTTACCTACCAATTGTTTTGTTGTCACTATGCTGAGAGATGACCCTATCAGCAGTTGAAAAAGAAGACATTGGAAATTCAAATCCACACGAGATAAGCTTTTACAAAAGAAAACTCTCCCTTTCTATCGAGGGAGGGGAGGGCTACTCCCAAACGAAAAGGACTGGGAAGTACAACACAGTAGTCAGACCCGTTTCAGTTCCTTTCAAAGTACACCATCTTCGCGATATGGCTTTGTTACTTAGATGGGTTAGAAATTAATAGAGAACCTATGTGGAAATTTTAAGTACCTTCCAAAGCCAAATAGAATGGCATTTTGGCATACCTCCCATTTCAAATTACTCAACCTATGGCTTCCCCTACATTGAAGAAAGGTAACGGATAACTGCCTTTACATATGGCTTTATGCATACCATTATGAGAATGAAGGAGCCCTGGTGGCATAGCAGTGGGTTACATACTGCACTGCTAACTGCAGGGTCAGCCGTTCAAAACCACTAGCTGGCTCCACGTGAGAACGATGAGGCTTTCTATACCCGCCCGCCTCCCCCAACTTACAGCCTCAGAAATCCCAGGGAGCAGTTCTGGTCTGTCCTATCGAGCTGCATTGAGTTAAAATTGACTCAATGGCAGTTGGTTTGGTTTTCATTATTAGAACCAAAAAGGTCATGGGTACTCAAGGGCCTGATGATGTAGTAGACGAACTACCTACAGGGAATGGGATCACCCACTTTTGGCTGGTTGTTTAGCAACAGAATAAGAACATCCAACTTAATCATTGCTATTGGTGAGATACTACAGAAAGTGGCTATAATTACTGACACAACATTGTAGATTTAAAAAAAATTACTGTTGACCTTAATACTACCCTTCCGTCATAGGAAGCCAAAGACCAATGATACACACTTAACCATTCTATTGAAGCTCTAAAATCTTTGGGCTTTGCTTCCAAATGCTGAATTTAAGGAGCGTGTTGCTGCTGCCCTAGTTACATAGGGAACAGTACCATTATTCTGGGGGATCTTACAGCCCATAGATGGTGACACCTCTATGTCTGGTCACCAGAACTTGGTTGGTCTTTAAAACTCAAACACTGGAAAACCCAAAGCTGTGTTTCTGCTAACAGTGACCCCCACCCTCTCGAACAGAGTAGGAACTGCCCCTTTAGGGTTCTTAGGATGTAAATCAGTGGTTCTCCACCTTCCTAATGCCATGACCTTTCATACAGTTCCTCATGTTGTGGTGTCCCCCAACCATAAAATTATTTTCGTTGCTACTTCATCACTGTCATTTTGCTACTGTTATGAATCGAGCGACCCCTGTGAAAGGGTCATTTGACCCCCAAAGGGGTCAGAACCCACAGGTTGAGAACCGCTGATGTCAATCCTCTTGCGAAGAGGAAGCCTCATCTTCCTCCTGAGGAGCCACTGGTGGGTCTAGACTATGCCCAGGGCCTAACCCCGGTGAGTAGCACTTCCATCAAAGGAAGTCTCAAGGGAGGAGAGCAGAGGCACACTACCAACCATCCCTTCTTGTTTTTGAAACCAGTTTTCGGAGTGCAGACCCAAAGCCCATGAGTAGGCCACTGGAGAGCCCCTTGCAGAGGGGTCTCCGGGAGAAGACGAGCCAGTCAGGGTGCGATGTAGCAATGATGAAAAATACAACTTTCCTCTGGTTCCTAAATGTTTCCTCCCCGCTCCCACTATCATGACACGAATTCTACCTTCAAGTCTGGCTAGACCAGAGGATGCACACTGGTACAGATAGGAACTGGAAATACAGGGAATCCAGGGCGGATGAGCCCTACAGGACCAGTGGTGTGAGTGGCGATACTGGGAAGGTAGAGGGAGAGTGGGTAGGAAAGAGGGAACCAATTACAAGGAAGTATATGTGACCTCCTCCCTGGGGGACGGACAACAGAAAAGTGGGTGAAGGGAGATGTTGGACAGGGCAAGATATGACAAAATAATAATTTATAAATTATCAAGGGCTCATGAGGGAGAGGGGAGCGGGGAGGGAGGGGAAAAATGAGGACCTAATGCCAGGGGCTTAAGTGGAGAGGAAATGTTTTGAGAATGATGAGGGCAATGAATGTACAAATGTGCTTTACACAATTGATGTATATATGGATTGTGATAAAAGTTGTATGAGCCCCTAATAAAATGATTTAAAAACAAAAAAGAAACCAGTTTTCTCTTACATACCTGGTTCTCCCCTACCCCACCCCCAAGTCGGTATGTGTATGGGGCAGAGGGAGGCAGGAAGGTACAGTGGGGGCTTTTGGGTCTGGAAGGAGTGATCAGATGGTCCGTATACTATGACCTATATAAAAAGGGCCGGCCAAGTAAAGAGGGCACTGGGCAGGTTCTTGCTCTTGAACAGAGCAAGTCGTTTATAATAGGTGGTGGGGGTTTTGCCCCTTCCATTTTCTAGCATGCTCGATAACATGCAGGCAACATTTATTCTTTGGGAGAACAAAGACTCTATTAAAACAAGCTTGAGAGAAAAGGTAGCTAGACTGGTGAACGCAGTGAAGTCTTGAGGAATTCAAGGGCACTGGGAATGGACCAGGTCTTAAAACCATGCAGGTAATTTCACAAGTGTGTATGTGTGTTTCCTTTTCATTGGATAGCATGCCTGATAACTTACAAGCACATCACATAAACTCTGGTGGCGCAGTGGTTACGTGTTGGGCTGCTAACTGCAAAGTTGGCAGTTCAAAATTACCAGCGGCTCCCTGAGAGGAAGATGGGACTTTCTAGTCCCATAAAGGGTTCCAGTCTCGGCCACTCCCAGAGGCAGTCCTATGGAGTTTGGCTTTTTTTTGGAAAATCAATGATACATTAAATCATAATTCAGACTGGGGCGGCCTTAGATCCTGTATGCGCAAGCACTAAAAACTCAGGGGAGTGCTCCCCCAGAGAGACTGATTGACTATCTGAAGGTGGAGGGGGGGCAGAGGTCACAGTGCCATATGTCCAAGAGAACGATGGACCTGGCTTCAGTGAGGACAGTCTCAGGAGCACTGTCCACAGCATTTCTGCCAAATACAGCTCATGGGTCACTAACTACCCTGTCAAAACAAAAACACTTCCTGCCATTGAGTTAATGCCGACTCATAGTGACCTGTCTGCCTTGGAGTGGCTAGTGGTTTTGAACTGCTGACCTTGCAGTTAGCAGCCCAATGTGGAACCACTATGCCACCAGGCTTCCTCGATGACCCTATAAACTGCTGAAATACATTCATGCATCCCCTGCTTTTATGGAAGACATACTTATTTTCACTACGTGAAAAGAACTCTACGTAAAAGAACTTTCACCAACAAAGTGCAAAAAAGCAAAAGTAGCGCTCAGGGTTTGTTTTGCAGCAGCTAAAGAGGCAGAGCACTTTCTGAATGCTGAGTAGTGTCACCAAGCTCCGGCCCCTGGAACTATAATTGGCATCACGTCTGTGAACAGTGTAAGATTGTATGTACTATTTGGTACAATAGGAGCCTTGGTGGTGGAGTGGATGATGCAATGGGCTGCTAACTGGATGGTGAGCAGTTCAAACTCAGCAGCCCCTCTACAGGGGAAAGATGAGGCTTTCTGTACCCAGAAAGATATAGAGCCTCGGAAACTCACAGGGGCAGTAATACTCTGTGCTTAGGGTCAATAGGAGCCAGAATTGACCCGATGGCAGTCGACTGGGCTTTGTGTTGCTCTTATGTCGTCTGATTTGGGAGGTTACTTAGACCTGGGAATGCTGGGAAGTTTTCTCCCCATCCAAATCAATGGTAAATTGTGTCTCCGCTTTAGGCCACACAAAACTCTACTTTTGGATAGCAGGGAAAACCTGTCAATGCCAAATAGTGGCGAACAGGACAGTATAAAATGTGATGGCTAAGAACCAAGGATCTGTAATCCTCACCGTCTGTATGTGGGATTGTAAGATTAACCTGCAACCACCTAGCCCAATAAGGAGTTTGTTCTGGCTGTCTCAAAATCAGCTTCGTCCTCTCTTCTGCCAACAGCACTCTGCTACCAGTCGACCCAGCTGCCCACTGCCAGACCCGGCCGGCGTTGGCTTCTCAAGCCGCGTTTCAGCTTCTATTGATTGTGAAAGAGAAGGAAGATTTCCCGACTGGTCTAACACCTTTGAGAGTATCAAACCATCTTATTTGGAGAGTTGGGTACTTTAACTGAAAACTCTAACCAAGCTCCATGGGAGTGGAACCCTTCAAGGTGACTCCCCCCACGCTCCTTTATGGGTACAATGGGCGGCCTACTTTCCTGGCCATCTTTGTAATCAGAGACAAGGTCGCTACGGTCCCGGAGCCTACTGTTCCTACGGTGTCTTCCACAGGAAAGCGCTGGTTTCCACAGGCCCCAAAGCATTAGAGACCTCCCCATATTTCACTTTCAGGAGAAAGGCAAGAGCTGTCTACTCCTGAAAAGAGTTGCAGTCTCAGAAACCCACAGGGGTAGTGAGACCAGGGCCCTCCCTATAGGGTTGCTATGAGCTGCAATTGACTTGATGGCAGTTGAGCTGAAATTTTTGAAAATCCTGTTTGGCGCTTGCCTTGAGTTGCTTTTAAAAAAAAACAAAACCCTCCCCCAATCCCCAAGGTTTCTCTCCGATGACACAACCACTAGACGCGAGCATCTGCTGCTAGCCACGTTACAGAGTCTTGGGATGGATGCCCTTGCCCTTGCCGTTCTCTATGAAAGGGTTCAGGGGGGTCTGAGTGTCTCTGGTAAGCGCCCACCTTCTGCATGATGCCCTTCTCGTAGTAATAGCGCAGAGAGCGGCTGAGCTTGTCGTAGTTCATGGCTGGCCGGTTCTTCTGAATGCCCCAGCGCCGAGCAACCTGAAGAAGAGAAGCACAGAGCAGTGGGCACACATTCCCCTGGACCTGCTGGTTTGCTCTGAATCCTTCTGTAACCTCATTGGCTCGGGCCAGGGACCCATTTCCCTGACCTGGAAGGGAAAGGGTTTAATTCTCTCCAAGCCAAGCATTCACCAGAGGCGATGATTCAGCCACAGCAGCTGGGAGGTGAGACCAGGAGGTGGAAGGCTCCTAGCACTTTAAGATTGTGCAGGGTTTGGCCATCATCCCAGAAGAAATAGGCCCTCCACCGTTCCTCCACGTATGAATTATTGACCAATACTCATAGCCCATTAGCATGTTGCCATTAAGTGCTATGGTTTCTGTAGCAGTCAATAAGGAATAATTAGAGTGGTCATTCCTGAAACATTAGAAACACACTAGTGAGTTGCTAATGGGCCAGCAGAGCAGAAGTTCAATTCTAATAAGATTGGAGAGGGGCTGGGAGATGTTTACTTATTGCAGCTCGTGGAATAACGGGGAATCAGATCATACCAGCCTGCTGCCATCCAATCCCCTGCTCCCAGCAGATTTACAGAATGGACACTAAAGCACGTAGCACCATTATCCACTTAATGAAAAATTAACAGGGCTTCCCACACAGTTCTGCAGTGCATTATATCCAACCCAGTCCACCTGAGGTACCGTGATGGGCAGACGTAACTGGAGCTCTGGGCTGAGAAATCTGGTAGCAGGAATACTTCCTAGTGCGGTTTGCCAATTATCAGAGCAGCCAAGCAATTTCTGCTCTCAAGCACGAAGGCACCCCAACTCCTACGCGTAAAGATGACAAATGAGGAAGGCAGGCTCCATAGTGGCACAGAGTATTAAGCAAGGGGCGGCAAATCCAGAGGTCTGAGATCTGAACCCACTAGTTGCTTCTGTAATGACTTACAGCTGCAGAAACCCCACGGGGCACTTCTACTCTGTCCTAGAAGGTTGCTGTGAGACGGTGGTGCGAGAGCAAGGAAAGAAAGGACTACCACTAGCAACAGGAATCCTCAAAGGTTTGCAAACGTGTGCACAGCAGGGGCCACGTCATGAACATTTTAGGTCATTTAGGACACTTTATTTTTCTTTCTTTAAACAAAATTACCTACACTCACGGTACCCCATAATGCACGTGTGGGCAACATCCAACTGCATCCACATGCCTGGTCCCATCGTTCTATCAGAGCTTCCGAAATCCCAAAGGCTGAGCCGGAAATAAGGAATGCAATAGCTTCCCCCAAGCAACATGTAGACCTGGCTGTGGTACACAACGTGAATGAGCTGTAAGGTGCATAAGGTATGTATGGTACATACACAATTCATCATACGTGTTTTAATAGTCATTATAAATGCCTCTCATACTGGCTTGCTGGAAGGGGCTTGTATGAGGGGGACTTCAAAAAGTTCCTGGGAAAATGGAATTGGAAAACAAACAAATAAAAAGGACTTAAATCCCCCTCCCATGGACTGTCCTGCCTACCTAAAACGTTAACTGTGCATTAACACATATGCAGACTCACAGGTAGCAGTACCCAACCTCATGTACCCTCACATAGCCTGCATTTTGAGGATCTGTAGCTATCTCTCCATTTCATTTCTCTTAAAAAATATGACTATGGAGTACATTTGTAGCACTCAAACCAAACCAAACCTGTGCTCCTGATAGCAGCAACCAGAGGCAAAGGTGAAGTATTGTTTGGAAATGAACCAAAAGGTTATTAGGGAACGCGAGGGTGAAAAATCAGCGCCTGCTACTGCTTGTCATTTAGGCATGCCCCACCTGACAATCACAGCCATCCTCAGAAGCAAAGGAAAAAAGCTCTCCAACCCAGTCAAGGATTAGCTAGGCTACTAGACTATTGGAAATCTGAACGGGACCGCGGAGGGATATGGAGAACTTGCCAGTGCTGTACACGCGGGACCAACCCAAACGCGGCCCCTCCCCTGCGGCATGCCGACGGGCCCTGCTAAGGCGCGCAGTGAGTTCGGAAAAAAGCAGGACCAGATTCCGATCTGGTGTTCACCCCCCATTTCACAGGATGTACCCTGGACGTTAAGCCACGCATGACTACATTCTTTTGATCTTTTGAAAATCAAGCAGGGTGTGGGACGTGAGTGCAGACAAGGTAAAAAGGGAGGTGGATCTTTTTTTTTAATCGTTTTATTAGGGGCTCATACAACTCTTATCACAATCCGTACATACATCAATTGTGTAAAGCACATTTGTACATGCATTGCCCTCATCATTCTCAAAACATTTCCTCTCCACTTAAGCCCCCGGCATTAGGTCCTCATTTTTCCCCCTCCCTCCCCGCTCCCTCCTCCCTCATAAGCCCTTGATAATTTGTAAATTATCATTTTGTCATATCTTGCCCTGTCCGACGTCTCCCTTCACCCACTTTTCTGTTGTCCGTCCCTCAGGGAGGGGGGTCACATATAGTTCCTTATAATAGGTTCCCTCTTTCCAACCCACTCTCCCTCTACCCTCCCAGTATCGTCACTCATACCACTTGGTCCTGTAGGAATCATCCGCCCTGGATTCCGTGTTTCCAGTTCCCATCTGTAGCAGTGCACATCCTCTGGTCGGGCCAGACTTGCAAGGTCGAATTCGGATCATGATAGTGGGAGCAGGGAGGAAGCATTAACTAGAGGAAAGTTGTATTCTTCAACGTTGCTACATCGCACCCCGACTGGCTCGTCTCCTCCCCAAGACCCCTCTGCAAGGGGATCTCCAGTGTTCTACAAATGGGCTTTGGGTCTCCACTCCGCACTCCCCCACTCATTCACTATGATAAGATTTTTTTGTTCTGATGATGCCTTATACCCGATCCCTTTGACACCTCGTGATCGCATAGGCTGGTGTGCTTCTTCCATGTGGGCTTTGTTGCTTCTGAGCTTGATGGCCGCTTGTTTACCTTCAAGCCTTTAAGACCCTAGACGCTATACTTTTTGATAGCCGGGCACCATCAGCTTTCTTCGCCACATTTGCTTATGCACCCATTTGTCTTCAGCGATCCCTTCAACACCTCGTGGCCACACAGGCTGATATGTTCTTCCAGGTGGGCTTTGTTGTTTCTGAGCTAGATGGCCGCTTGTTTACCTTCCAGCTTTTAAGACCCCAGATGCTATATCTTTTTATATCTGGGCACCATCAGCTTTCTTCACCACATTTGCTTATTCACCCGCTTTGTCTTCAGCGGTTGTGTTGGGAAGGTGAGCATCATAGAATGCCAATTTTAATAGAAGAAAGTATTCTTGCATTGAGAGAGGAAAGTGGATCTTAAAGCGCACTTCCCTTAAGGATTTGGGCAGGTGGAGAGGAACAGCCCCTGAGTTTGGGATTCTATAATGACCTTTAATAAATACCAGAAATGATGATGGCAAGTGAGTAAGAATACACCTGTCCTGATTATATTAGAATACTTCAATAGCAAGGTTCTTGTTTGCCTGGCCAAAAAAAAAGACCTAAGAAAGCTCCATTTCCAACTGCCTTCTTCAATCTTCTATGCCTTCGGTTGGGTCTCCTCTTTTCTCCCCCTGTGGTAGTTACATCATCTGGTGTCAATTTGGGACTTGAGAGGATTAAGAGTGGAGGGGTGGAGTCCAGTCTGTCAATCGGGTCATAGCCAATGAGGCCTCTGTGTGGGCATGGCCTTCTCCTGAGGATTCTGGGAAATCTGGTATTTCCTCCTTGGAAGCGGGAGACTCTCTCTCTGTGCACACCCTGGGAGGCATAACAGCTGACAAGACACATGGAACTACCCTAGTGCCCCAAGCTGGAGAAGCCATGTGGAGACCCCTGCCAGCACTGAGATGCTTACAACGCCACCGGATCCACAAGACTTCCCACCCACTGGTCTGTGATCTTACTGCATTCAGCGTCATTGCATGTGTTTCATGAGTCTGAAGACTTTATAATAGATTGGTATCGGACATTTGGGTTAATATTGGACTTATGGACTTGGTCTGAACTGGGTTGGGATGCTTTCTTTTTTTTATATCAGAGGCAATTATTTTATTCACAAATTATTTTTTAGATTTGTGCTTTCTTTTAAAAAAAATTATTTTATTGGGATGCTTTCTTAATGTACAATTACCCTTCGTATAAAACGCTCTTATACACATGAGTCTCTATGAATTTGTTTCTCTAGTCTACCCACACTAACATACCCCCTTTCACCTATTCAATTTTATCTTCATGATTACCCAAAGGGCACAATTTACCTCAACCCCACCAAGAACAACAACGAATCTCAAGAAGCCCACAAATCCTGGAACCAAGGGCAGATAGTGGCCAAGAAGGGAAATCTGTTAAACCAATCATGCTGTTTAAAAGAAACAGCACTTTATGAAAGTGTTCTTAATTGCTGTCAGCCACAAACGAGGCAGGGAACTTTAAATGAAGCCCAGCCTCTGACTTTACTATGTTCAGTGGTGAAAACCAATGCTGGAATATATATATATTTTTGGTGAATATTCTTAACTTCAGATGTGACCTCTTTTTTTCTGCCACTTGCATATGCAACAGCTTACTGGAGAGGGCTTTTGCATATGCACAGATTTCAAAGCCCTTCTGGTAGCCATAGTTACTGACTCATCCTCTCCGGCTGGAGCCCTCCGCTTCCTTGGCCCTCCCCTGGGCTGCGCCTTCTGTAGCATGGCGTGATGCAGCACAGCTCCGGCGCAGCTGGAGTCGGGCTGCCCCCTTTTCTGCGGGTGGCAGTGGGGTGCGAGACAGGCAAGAGCTGGTTCCTGCTCTTCCCCATCAGTGACTATAATAGCACACATCTGAGGGCTGATGCTGAAGGAGTTAAACCGTGCACATCTCTCTTCCTGCTCTTTCGAGAGAGCCCAAGCCACAGCTCGGCGAGCAGCTTTTGCGAGCAGCTTTTGCGAGCAGCCCATCCTTGTGAGCCTCTTCATGGCATCAGTTATCTGCCACATGTTCAACAAACAAGCCTACCCCCAAAATATTCATTAATGCAGATTCACAGTGAAAATGGCTCCAGATTAAAGCCGAGTCCGTCATAATTGAGAGGGTGCTAAGCTGGATGACTATCAAAAGACATTTGATTAGGGGGCCTGCCAAAACGAAGTTCTAAAACCACAATTTCCATGCACAGTGTAATGGATATTATGGATAATTACCCAGAGTGCACTACTCAGCCCACAGCTGCCTACAATTACGTCCCAAACAGCTTCCTCCTCCGCCTCACCCTTCAAGCGCCCCACATGACAGCAACTCTTTTCGTGGGGTTGGTATCTTCCCGGGATTAACAGGGTGAGGCCCCCAGAGTTGTACATGGCGGGGGTGGGGTGGGGGGCAAGACTAGACAGAGGTGTGTCCCAAGGCCAAAGTGCCCGCGTGGAACTGAACGGGCCTGGGCTAAGGGGCAGCAGCAGCCAGAGCTCTGGGAAGGCTGGGGGGCTGCAAGGTGGGGTGTGAAGAAACACTTCCTGAGGCAACCAAGCTGCCCAATCAGCTCTGGGAGGAAGCCTGAAGGGCACGGTTGGCCTCTCACGAGACTCGGCTGCTTGGCATTTATGAGCATTCTGGATTAATATTAGTTTCTTTATTAAGTAAGAAAGCCAGGGCCCCGTGCCATCTGTTCATCATTTTCTTTACCACTGGTAGGAGAGCAGAAGATTGAATAACCTCTTTACAAAGGGCCATAACCAGGTTTACCTGCAGCTGTACAGCCTGCGCTTAGGCCAGAGGCAGTGGCCATAAAGTAATAAAAGCTCCTGTTTGTGAAAGGAGATAAATCAATAAGGGCTGCCCACATGACAGACCTGCTTTCAAAGTGCCTCAGTGAGTCTGGGCCACATGCTCTCCCCCAGCCTCGGGCAGATGAGGAGAGCTGGGAGGAGAAGAAAGGTGGGTGAGATGGCTTAGCGCTAAAGCAGTACTTAGAAAAACTGGCAGCGTCCAACTCGGGCTCAGAGCGCAGCCTGGGCTGTAACAGAAACTGCCGACATGTGAGATCAGTGGACATATTTCCACTTTCACAAATGACTCCACACAGGGGCCATCGTGCGCATATCCTCTGTAGTAACTGCCTTAGTCTCCTGCCAATCGGGATTCGTTGGCTTCGAACTCGCAGTCTCCTCCCCACCCCCATCTTAACTTTCAGGCTGTTTCCTTGTTCCAGGGCAGATGCCCCTTGCTGTTAAGCCCCACGCTGATTTCTTCCCTTGGCGTGCTAAAGTGAGCCCTGGTATTCCCTCAACGCCTGAGAACACTGTTCTCGCTTACAGGCCTCCCAAATGCATTGATCTCATTTCAGTCCCAACCAGCCCAAAGACCTTTTTCTCTGTTGGTTTAATATGTGACACGAAGTATATGTTACCCCTCCAAGAAAGGGGAAGAAAGCATGTCAGTTTTTCCAGTTTTTCTTCACAATCTAGCTAAACTACAAAGCAAACAGAAACTACATGTGAAGCGAAAAGCCGAACTTACTTTGTTCTTCTAGGATAGCCAGGAAAGGGCTTCTATGCTCTGTCTTCTCCTTTGAAGAAGTACTGGTTCTTTCCATAGGCTTTTCTGCCAATAGTTTCTGGCAGACCAACGATAACCCTTTTTATTGTTCTGCCTGCTCCTCACAAACAAAATAAGGGAGGCTTGTGTCTATCTCTGAACTATTGTGATGCCTCACAGCACACTTTAATAAAGCGAAAGCTCAGAAGAATGTCCGCTCTCTCATAAGGTAATCTCTTCAGGTTAAGGCCATTTGCGACACTGTGGTAATTGCCTCCTGTAATAGCTTACCAAAATCCCACACGACATATTCATGCCGCCTCCTACATAGGCTATGACATGCCAGAGCTGAGGCCGAAACTACCGAGCCGTCACGTAAAGAAGATCTCTCAAGAGGGAAGGTCATGTCTCTTCCTTGGCTGTTGGTCTTCCCATTCATGGGCCCCATAACTCAGATTTTGAGGACATGCAACCGCTAAGCTGAGGCGTTCCGCCTATCCGATTGACAGGAAGGACACTGGCCAGCGACTGCTAAGAGCGGGAATATTTAATACAGTAACGAGCCTCAAGGGAACCACGAACAAGCTCATCATAGTCATCTCTAACATCACCGGCGCCCTGCAGCCAGCACTCACCTCCTCGGGCTCTATCAGCTTGAACTCCATGCCTCGGCCGGTCCAGGCAATGAAGTGGGCATTGGCCGGGTCGTCAAGAAGAGTAACCAGGAACTGCCACAGCTGCAGAGAACCTCGCCTCTGATAGGGGGGACCCTCTCGATACAGAGTGGGCTCCTGTTTGACTTTGCCTGTTTGGGGGGGGGGGTGGTGGCGCACACACACACACAAAAATTTCAGTTAGAAGTTTCTCAGGTGATTTGGAAAAGGAGCTGTGAATGCCCAATCAATCGCTTAACTCCGTAAGACAAACCCAGTTGCTCTGACATCTTTAACTCTCCGGTTTAGCAACAAAGCTCACAGGGGGTGACTTACCTTCCAGCCTCTCAGGTACCACACATGTGTCATCGAAGTACAACCGGGGATCTTTTTCATATGAAAAACCTGAAGGAGAATTTAAAAAAGAAAGGCTCTGTGGGTCACAAGTCCTGTGGTGCATTAAAACTATGGATTTAGGGACTACAATGGGATTCTACCTTTCCAGGCTCTAAGCCCTACTGCTGTTATCTTTGCAAGCCTGCATTTTCTGGGACTTCAAAAGGACTTAGGTGCTCATGTTCTGATGTGGTCACCGGAGCCTCATCCACAGCAAAATCAATTCTGCTACCAGAGCTAAGACGGCAAGGAAGCATTGCATCACCTGTAAGTTCCTGCACATCTTCCTTATGAGGTCTGCGAGGATCAATGGTGCCGTGACTAAGCCGTTGTATCTGGAAAAATCGTACCTATTTCACTTGGATGGATTTGGTTTAATCTGTATACAGTCCCACCATTTTCCCGTTGGCTGATATTAATGCCAACCTTTCGTATAACTTGTCCAGACTCCCCACATAGCTCAATCAATTATGAAAGCACCTGGGGTATAGAGAATGTTGCCAAAATGAATAAAGACGTTGGGGCTAGCGGAGCTTTTCAAAGAGCAGTGAAAGTTTCAGAGTAAGTTGGGGATGGTATTATCACAGACAGGCTGGAGGGAATTATCCGAGAGCCCTCGCAATGAAATGCAGTCAAGCAATGAGAACCGACTGATCCCATGACAACAGTAAGAGGAGATGACAGAAAGGGTCCGACAAGGGTCAACCCACAAACCCTCAACCCACATCCAGAGCTGGCCACCATGTCACCAGGCACCCTGACAAAAATCACAGCCAGTGAGCAGGCTGCCTCTATGGAGCTTCCTCCTTTCCTGTGGCTTTGTCTATTTCACAGGGGTGGGGATTAGAGAACCCCTCTCCCAACATAACTTCTCAAGAAAAAGACCCAGGAGCCCTTGCTTCCTGAACGAGGCTTCCCTGTGCTTGGGTTGGACTGGTGGACACACTTTGTTGGACGGCACAGGTGTGTTTGTGTCAGGTATGCCGTGGGGATATGCAAGGAATGGTGCTCTGCAGGGAGGAGCTTCCATGGGCTTTTGAGGGGGATCCGCTGGGACTTGAATAATCCCAGAGGTAAAGGCGCCAAGAAATAATGGGCTGTTCATTCTTTCTTCACAAACTGTGCAGATCCACTCGCGTCTTGGCAGGCCTGACTTCAAGGTGTAGGATTGTGAGAAACACTATCCAACCTGGAGACAGGGCTTTGAACCACTTCACCCTAGTTCCACTCCGGGTCCCGTGTTTGATCCCCATCCCAGACACCGAATGACCCACGAGATGCATTCTTAATGCAGTTGGCACAGCTGTGAAGGGCTATTGAGACTCACACTTCAGCACACAGAAAAGGCTGGAAACATTTTCCGATGATTCAAAAGCTGCATGTGCAGCAAGTCAAGGTCGCTGTGGTACAGGAAGCATTGAGGGTAGGGGCTGGTTCCAAACTAAGGCAAATTCCCCTTGCAGTGGAGGGCAAGCACCAGTCATACTTTTTGAAACGGAGGGACTGCCTACATATGGATTCAGAATCTAGATTTCCAACAAGACCTTCAAATGGTTCTGAAGTTTCGAGAAGACCGCAGACTCCGATTCAATATACCTCGGGTGGCAAGGCAGACTGGCAGCCAGGAGTCAAACCAGGGTCCAAACCCTGCTTGGAGGAAATTGACTCTTTTGAGGTTTGTGTGATTTATTTTGCTTTCCCACCAGGCCCTGCTTCTCTGTTGCTTGGCAACATGGAAAGGGGTCTATTTTATTGGCTTTTATTTACTGTCCAATACGATAAATATTTATTGTGGAAACTGCGAAGAGACAAGGCCCACGGAGAGAGAGACATGGCCCCACGTGGCCCTTATCTCTTGCCTCAGAGAGAGGCAGACCACAAACTAGGACAAGAAATGGAAGTGACAAAGCGCAGTGTGGAAGTTAAGAGAGGGTGGGCCCTGGGAGCAGATGATCCCGCCCCCATCAGCTGTGTGACCTAGAAGGAGCTGAATCTCTTGGGACAACGGGATACCCGTTACTCAGGCCTTACAGAGTTGTGGTGAAAATGAAATAAGTGCCAACAAGAGCTCAGAGTGCAATGAACAACGGGGAAGCAGGAGCTGTGCTCTGAGCTAAGTCTTATACACAGCAAATGCCACGGGTCAAAAGACAAGCTTTATCCTCTAGCATAAGTTCTAAATTCCTTGAGGATAAAAACCAAGTCCCGAATGTCGTAACTGCCTCACAATATTTTATACACACTAAGTGCTCAATAAATATTGGAAAAAGTGAGAAATCCAATAATCCTCATTAAAACCCCCCCCCCCCCCCAAACAATACCAGGCTTAAAAAAGAGCAAATAAAAAGACATTACCTTCAGTGACCATGATGATATATTTACTATCTGATTCGGTACTGGGGAGCAGATGGACTTTTATGACAAGCTGGTGTACTTTGTGTTTACCAATCAGAATTACAGTATCCATCACAGGTCATGCTTTTGCCCTGGCTATCAGGAAGCTCTGCATTTCCCACCTTTCCTGTCTTAGATATCTAGGCTCTCAAGGGAGCTTCCTGGTTCCCTGAAGATGGCCATGTGCCTTGGCATCTATCTGAGCCCATCTCTGCTTGCTCACTTGTTGACTTATAATGCACCCACAACTAACCTAGGCTCCTAACCAAGACAATCCACTGCCTTATGGGATGATATCTGCAAGTATCAAAAAACCAAACTCCTGGTGACCCTACAGCACAGGGTAGAACTCCTACCCCTGTGGGTTTCCAAAACTGATAGCTGTTTATGAGAGTAGAAAGCCTCAAACTTCTCCCTCAGGGTAGCTGGTGGTTTCCAATTGATGACCTTGAAGTTTAGCTGGCCAGTCAACCCACTCCGACAGATGCCACCAGGGCTCAATATCTACAGGTACTGGGGTGGGGGGTGGGAAGGGTGTCTGCGTGTGGGTGGGGCACCATTCAATTCAACCCATAACATTTCCATATGGGTTCTGATCCAAGAGAGATACTTTAATGGCCACACTATAAAGTCATGATAAGCGAACGACTTCACAGTTAACCACCTGTCCGCCAGACACGCCAGGTTATTTTTGGAGCTTTTCTTTCCTCTAAGGTAAGAACAACATGTTCCAGGTGTCTAAGGGGCTGGGGGTGGGGGACATCTCAATCCTAGGTTTGGTTTTCAAAACTAATCAGATGAAGGCCTGCCTACACAGAGTATCATTTGGGGGCCTTTTGTGGTTTCCAGTTTTTGCCACATGTGGTTCGTGAAAACATCTGGAAGATGCTGTTGGTGTAGGTGAACTTTCAGTCGGTTGTATTGGCACCAGCAATTGCATCCGTCATGGCCACCGCCATCTATCTAATCGCCCGAATCAAGGTGGCAGGAAGGAAGGACCGTTTGAGGGGCAGAGTGGAAATGAAAGATTCAAAACTCTACACAGGGATTCCAGGTGAACGGGCAAGTGCAAGATGGCTATCTGAACAAGCACAGATGCCAATCAGACACACCTGTCTCCCTAACTGCTTGGCAGGCATCTGTGGTCAAGCCTGCCTGTGGAGGGAGGAGATAGAAAGCATGGCAGGGTAATTTAGAGCAATTAAAACTGCTGCTCTCTTTGAAACAGACTTCTTCCATGTGTGTGGGATCAGGGAAAGGAGTGGGAACGAGTGGGCAAAGAACACACAAACTTGCCAGATATTGTATGTGTGTAGTAAGCAACCCGATGCCTTACTAAAAATATTTCCTATAAGAGCGTGCTCTTTCCTAAATGTTAAAATTATGCAAAATGCTCTCCCTTCCTCAGTTTGCCTGCTGCAGACATCAATGGCTGTATAGGAACATTCAGGAACCTGGAAGAGAGCCCCATACAGCTGTGCCTATCAGTCTGTGGCCCAGTTGACGCTCCTTCCTTTGCAGGGCTGAACACTCAGAATGTCCCCAGGAGTTCAGTGCAACAACACTGGGTCTCCCTTCTAAGCAGGTCAAAGGGATGCATCCACTCAAGAGACCACTGTTGGGAGCTTACCACTTATAAAATCCTACTATGCTTCACACAACTCCCGCCCCACCCCATCGAGTTGATTCCAACTTACTGTGACCCAATGGGCCAGGGCAGACCTGTTCCTGTGAGTTTCCCAGACCATACATTTTTATGGGACCACAGAGCATCATCATTCTCCCTTGCAGCATTGGTGAGTTTGAACTGCTCGCCTTGGGGCTAGCTGTCTAATGCATAGCCAACTACGCCAACAAGGCTCCCTCCCTCACCACGCTTCATGGAGTGGCTTTATCAACTCAAACCACCTTCTGTGTCAACTCTGGAATGCAGTGGCTCTCAACCTTAGCTGCACACTGGAATCACCTGGAGAGCTCTGACAAGCTACTGAAGCTGGGGTCCGACTTCAGAGTCTGAGTGAATTGCTCTGGAGCGAAGCCTGTACATCAGGATTTTTTTTTTTTCTTTTTCTCCCTTTCCCAAAGCTCCCCAGCTGATATGAATGTGCAGCCAACGTTGAGAATCATTACTTGGCTGTGCAAGAATCTCTTGGGAGATTGCTGGGCTCCACACCCGGCAGTTTTGATTCTACAGGTTTGAGGGAGGAGATCCGACAGACAGAGCGGTGCATTAAGCTGCTGCTAAGATGTCAGCAGTTCGAGCCCGCCAGGCACTCCATGGGAGAAAGACGAGGCAGTCTACTTCCATAATGATCTGCAGCCTCAGAAACCCAAGGCCATCTGTCCCGTCCAGTAGCCATGAGTTGGAATCCACTTATGGCCGTGGGCCTGGAGGCCTGACGTGGTTCCTGAACATTTGCAACTTTTAACAAGTCCCAGGTGAAGCTGCTGCTGTTTCTTTAAATTGTCACTCTAGATGTTTATGGAGAGATGTATAGGACAGAAAGCAGCGCTGTTGGTGCTGTGCAAATGGTAACCCCAAGGCTAGCGGTTCAAACCAACTAGTTGCTGCAAGGGAAAAAGAGGAGGCTATTGACTCCTGTAAAGATTTATAACCCTTGGGGGGAAATGGGGAGCCAACAACAGTAAGTAAAAGAAAGAAGAAAATATTCTAAAATCGATTGTGGCGATGATTCCACAACTCTTCTTAATATGATTGAATTCGAGGATATGTGAAATATATGCCATTAAAAAATTAAAAGACTTATAACTTGGAAATCCCTGCCAGGGTCTCTAAGAGTTAGAACTGACTTGGTGACAATAGGTTTTGTATGACACACCTTCCAGGGAAAGTGTTCTTTAAAAAAAACACAAAAAAACCCCAAACCTCAAAGTCAACGACTTCCCTATTTGGGCAATCTTGAGATTCTGTTATCTAAAGTCTTGCCCTTATCTCTTTAGGCCTTTCTTGCCTCTATTTCATCTCAACAGGCTTCCTCTCTCTTCCCAGCGGAATCAAGCCCTTTGCTTTTGTCATTCCTTTTAAGAAGCAGCTACTCAGCAACTTCTCTTTCCCACTCTGGCCAACCCTGCCCTCCCGGAAGACTTCCTTTTTCGCTTTTAAGAAATTCTCCATTTTAAAAAGCAGCGATAGGCACTGACCCTAAGACAGACCCAGGCATGTATGCATATGCCCTCCCCCAAACTGGCGCAGCAAAAGCCCTAAGCCCAGAAATGTCACCTTCAGGAATTTGTCCTCAAGAATTCACCAAGGGAGTGTGTGAAATTTAGCTAGATGGAGGTTCACCTCGACTTGGTTCATTTTGGGAATAATCTGGAGATACCTGCTTCCTCATGCAATGAGTATTGTTACAGCCACGTGAGAGGGCACTGTACAGGGAGGTTGAGGGCTATACAGTGTCACTGGCTGTAAAACGTGCAGGGACATTCAGAGCGTTGGGCCCTAGAGCCCACAGGGCTTAGTTCTATCTTCCCAGCTGGGTAACCTTGACAAGTCTTTTAAACCTGAACCTCAGTTTCCTCATGACACCATGGGATTAATCAGAAGGTCCACTTAAGGCTGCTGAAGGGTTAATTAGCTCACAGAGGGCACAGGAAAGACCCTAAGGAGAGGGTTTTTAACAAGTTTGTAGAAAACATGGTTTTCCATTAAATTTTTGAAACCCCTTCACAGAGAGCAAAACATTAATTCTCGACAGCGAGGTTGAACTTTTTTCCTTCTGTTTATCTATACTTGTAGTTTCTAAATTCTGAGCAACCAGTATTTGTGATAAGCCATGAAAGTTTACACTATATACAAAAAAAGTAACTCAAATGCAAGTTCCTACACAAAAGGAGATTCTGGTCCCGACTACTTCCTTTAAGTCATATCCTGTTCGACATTTATGCTTTGAGACTATGTGTTCTAAATTACTTCTGCCTCAACGAGGAGGGCAGTGCTAATAGAGGCAGAGTCACGGTGTCTTCTCATGACAGTGCGATCATCCTGAGACTCACTGAATTTGTTGGTCCCAAAGGGACTGGACACGAAACTATAAAACCCTGATGTCTCCACACACGAATAACCATTAGGACACACGATGAGCCAAGCTTATGGGAAAATTGCCTTTTTCAATGTTTCTTCCTGGAGAAAGTCCAATTAATTAATTAATTAATTGGTGATTGATTGTCTTTGAGTGAAAGTGTACAGAGCAAACTGGTTTTTCATTCAACAATTCATACACATTTTGCTTTGTGACATTGACTTTAAAATTAAAAAAAATAGTTTTATTGGCATCGACTTCACACATCATACAATTTAATCATTCAATCATATTAAGGAGATTTGTGCAATCACCACAATGAATTTCAGAGCACTTTCTTCTCATCGTTGTCAGCTCTCTATTTCCTCCATCCTCCTGCCATCCCTCTAGGTAATATCTAGTTATGGTCCCTACAGATCTACCTAGGGTGGACTTCATATATCAAAAAATCATCAAAGACACAAACAGGAAGCAAACACAAAAACAAAAATCCAACAATATTGACTAGACAAAACAGAAAAAAGACCTCAATCATAAAGAAAGCAGAAAATATTATTAAAAACATAAACTACTTTGAAATGGGTCAAAAGGGAGATCAAATGATCTTACCCTTCAACCTAACTACGTCTGCCATAATCAACTTTACAATGCTCTCTGTCGGATAACATGGCTATTCACATGCCTGACCTATTTTCAGAGGTGATTCATGAGAAAGTTAATCCATGTGGGGATACTGCAAACAGATTTGGGGCTCCTAATGTCATCCATAGCCCTCTTCAAACAAGGTATTCAGAATTTAAGCTCTGATACCATTCCCTCTTTTGGATTTGGATTTTATTATTTACAATTCTTGAATCACACAGGCTGGTGTGCTTCTTCCATGTGGACTTAGTTGACACTTTGCTTAGATGGCTGCTTGTTTGAAGACAAGCCTTTAAGACCCCAGACACTATTCCAGTTGGTAGCCAGGCACCATCCTCCTTCTTCACCACACTTTGATATCGCACCCATATCGTTAAAATAAGGCAAAAGATTTATACGATTTGAAGAGAAACTAGAGCATTTCCCTATCTTTAGTGATCTCTTCATGAGGCTGGGTATGGAGCACGGCCATGTCGTAAGAATTCATTGTTTAGATTGGGGCTAGAATTAAATGTAAGCCCCCAATCCATTCATCCATCTATGGTTTATACATGTCTCTGCTTCACTTGAGAGCCATCATTATCATTATATGGTAGAGGACATTACTAATCAGCCCCCTGGGGCATAGGATAATTCTATTGATAGTGTCATTGATTTAGTCAACGGTATAGAATTTAAAACATTGTTGATAAAGGGAAATTATACAAGTATAGGCCAGCTTTTCAGACCACAAGACAAGAATTGTTGGCCTGTACAGATTAACTCTTAAATGACTGGGCACTTCTTACGCAAACCACGGCGACTGGTCATAGGACAGAACCATGCCTACCAGACAAATGTCATAAGAAGGCCAGGTGGGCACTAAAATAGTAAACATAAGATAATCCCGGGGCAGCATTCATTGGGTACCCTTTGGGGGATTTTTAATCTAGCCAATTAGACAACATTTCTACAGAATCGTATCCATCTACAAAGTTTTGAATATAACATATGTTACTTCTACAGAACGTTATCAAGGAGCCCTGGTAATAAGTTGGGCTGCTAACTCTAAGGTCAGCAGTTTGAAACCACCAGCCACTCCTCAGGAGAAAGATGGGGCTGTCACTCCCTACAAGGGTTATAGTCTTAGAAGGGGAAGTCTTCACAGGGGAAGTTCTATCCTGTCTTACAGGGTCACTCTGAGTGGGCATCCACTCAATAGAAGTGAGTTTAACTTTGATTTTATAAGGTCTCATGACGCCCACACTGGCGGCCCTGGCTCACCATAGGACACCTCAAATTGCTCTCCCATTTAAAAAGTAACAACCATTTCTCAAACAGTAATAATTGCAAGGGAGTACCCAACCAAGCATCCAAATTAAGTACCAAGTAGAAACACATTGAAAAGCTCTTATTTTGAGGGAGTTAGAAGACTAAGAGATGGTACACTGAGGGTTATTGCAAAAGATGAGTTGAGGCAGAATATGTACGAATTATTGAATGTAAAATTGTGATTTGCTCTGTACACCCTCACCTACTTCCCAAGAAAGTTAAAATAAAAAAGAAAATAAATCAGTTTTAAAAACCTCATTTCTGAAATATCCTTGAAAAAGTTAAAAAAAGAAAAAAAATAATCATGTAAAAAAAAAAAAGGAAAACTAATTTCTGAGACATCCTTGGAGCCATATAAAACCACCCTCACTGACAAAATTCCCAAGTTCTAATTTAGGCAGATAGTAAGATATACATGGAGGCTACAGAAAGTTTGTGAAAAAATGAAATGAAAAGATAATGGAATTTCCCCATGAATTTTACAAGCCCTCATACCACCAGACAACTTTCGTGTGTAAAAACGGAGAAACCAGATTGGCTCAGATTTTTTTCTCCAAATGTATCCCATGAACTCTGGAAAGTTAGTATCATCAATATTCAAAGTAATAGGAGCCCTCTATGCCTGAAACTTTGGTATAAAATAAGATAAAGATGAATTTGCTCTCATATTCACCAGCTAGGGACCTACGACTTCAAATGTAAGCCCGGAAATAGGGCAGTTTGAAGCTTCTTTTGAGTATTATTAAAATAATAATAAAACGCCCAAGCAAAAAGCATTCCTTACCCTCATGGCTGCTGGAGAAATAGCCCCCTCTCATGAAGGACGACTGGCAGTTGGGTACTTCTGGAAGGGAAACACACGCACACACCATTGTCAACAGTTCTGTGGTAGAATAAGCACACAGCTTAACCCAAGCGCCATAGTGAAGCCCAGCGCTGCCTCGGCCCCACGATCCTGTCTATAGCGCTGTCCGAGAATTTACCCCACAGACAAAGGGGAAAGCCCCTAACAGGTATCTGAAAGTCAGAACTCTCTATACCAAGGGCCAGGGGAAGGAAAACAATGTCTCACTCTCAAGTCTGTTGAAAGAATGAACTAATGGTGGAAAAGAAACTATCTTCCCAAAGACTAAGTTTGGTCGCCTGCCTGTACTGACTCCACAGTTTGGGGAGTGGGCTGTGGAAGACGACTGCTTTAGATTTTCTCCAATTTGCCCTCCTTTACTACTGCCGATGGTCACATCTAATCCTGCTCCTGGAGGTTCGTGGTATTTTTAGGCCAAAGAGATCAAAGAGGTCGGCAGTTCAAAACCACCAGCAGCTTTGCGGGAGAAAGACCAGACGTCCTACCCCCGTAAACAGTTCCAGTCATGGAAACCCACAGCGGTTGCTATGAGTCAGCATCGACTTGATGGCAGTGGGTTTGGTTTTTCCCCACAGGGAGGCCGCTCAGATCAGAGTTGTAGATCTATAAGGAAACCCCAAAAAGCTCATGGGAAAATGGAATTGAAGCTAAGAAGAACACTGCCAGACACACATGCTCCAGAGGAGAACACGCCAAAGCCTACGAAATGCCAGGTTTATAAGCTGGCAATTCCAGGCACTCGGTCATATTTCTGCTGTTAAGCAAACAATGTCTCCCTTCTTCTATTTACCCCCAGAGCCTTCCTGCCCTACACCTCTTTCTGCATGTCATCTCAGAGAAGGTCAAAAGCAAATTCTATATCCCATTCCATTTATAAAAGCCATTTAAAATACATATCTGCTTCACCTCTGCGCAGGATCTTTAAGGGGGAAAAAAACTACACACAGGGAAAGACTGGAAACTTACCCACCACCCTCATATTCCCAACTCTGAGGTTGGGGTGGGGAGTGAGGGAAGTTTATTTCTGAAAAGGAGAAAAATAAAGAGGAGTTTCCAAGTGTGCAAACTGCAAAGTTCCAACCGTCCTTTCCCTTCCCTAATGTTTCATTGACTATGTCTGGTCTATAAGATATGTAGACAGTGAGTGGGTGCACGGGGTCACCCAAGTGCAGCTTAAACTTGGTGATGTGCTTAACTGTGTTCCCAGACAAGAGGGGGCCCCATAACCAAACAGTAGGCGCTCTAACATATTCTACTTCAACTGCTGATGGACGTAGGTCTTTTCTCAGTCAACAAGACGGCAACAGAACAGTTACTCCATCAAGGAATCACAGGAGCAGGCTTTCCTACGGGGCCACTCGTACCCCAGACAGCCAGGAAATACCAGGTGTTTTCCAAGAATTACCAGGAGCCCTGGTGGCATAGTGATGACGCAGCGGGCTGTTACCCACAAATTCAGCAGTTCAAAACCACAAGCTAGTTCTTGGGAGAAAGACGTAACTCCCATAGAATCGCAGTCTCGGAAGCTCACAAGGGGCAGTTCTACCTTGCCCTACAGGGCTGCTAGGATCGGCATCAACTAGATGGCAATGAATGAGTCCCATGAGACTGTTCATTTCAAAGACAGCAATTCTCACAGCTTACATGCAGACTCTCTCTTTACAGCTGAAACAGTATCAAGGTTCGTTGTAGGGACTGCCCGGTTATGAATGAGATTCGCTCCCGCATGTGTCTCTAAGTCAGATTTGCAGGTCAGGTGGAGCAGGTGCATTCAAATCGTATTTGGCCTTTCTTGGTGCAGGTATTTTCAATGGTTTAGAAGCTCCACATGCCGCCAATGACGGTGACTGGGGAGAAGCCTTTGTTGTGAGTAGGGGTAGAGGTTCGTTCAATCGTTCCAAAGTGAGAGCAAAGTAACCTAAATATTAAAGAGTTTCCCAACCCAGGCACTGTTGATACTCAAAAGAAAGCCACCACACCTGGAACAGGACTCAAGTACAGAAATGACACGCACCTCCATGTCCAGTGGCCGAGGTTACTAGATCTTAAAAAGGGTACCTACCCCCAAGGTTAGACCCCAACACTCTTTGGGCTTGGCCTCTGGCATACTTTATAACCCCCTCCCACCCTCTCAATGCCTACCGCACTGACCACATGCCTGGCCCTTCTGCTGTGCTTTTCCACTGATGCAGACTAGATTCTAAGTTCCTTGAGAGAAATTCCTATAAGACTCTTCCCCACAGCCCTGCACAGAGAAGACAGGGGCCGCATAGATGAATGAGAGCATGCAGAACTGGATGCCTGGGTTTGAAGCTAACCTGAATCAACGCAGTAATCCCGGGGCTCCTGCTTGATTCCCATTGGTGACTGGAACCCGTGTGCTGGGGGACCTGGCATGCCAGGGACCCCGTGTTCATAGAGCGGGTCATGGTATTCTTGTTTGAATCCTTGAGGGGGTGGGGGAGCTGCAGGGACAATAGGCTCTGACATTTGCCGGTGGTAAGTGGGACGATTATCTCCAGGAACGCCTGACTGAGGAGGGAAGGCATGGCAAGGTTCAGAGAGTTGTCGCTGAAATCTGTACGAAAGAAATGACACAAGGTTAAATAGGCACGGAATGACTAGCTACTGTGACTTACCAGTGGGGACTAGAAGTTCAGATTAATGAAATTATAAAGTAACCCCCCCAAATACTGAAGTAGTTATTAATGCTTACTTATGGATATTTTGTTCCTGTCCCCAAATTGTATATCACATTTCAATCCTCATAAAAGAGCGGGGGTGGGGGGGTGGGGGGGGGGAAGCAATCAAGGGAACAGAGCGGTCCCTCACATTGCACACACATTTCCTTCATGCACTGCCCATTTATTAATGAAGCTTAAGTATCTGGCTCTATCTGGACAATTCCTGCCAAGCGGAACCAGCAAGTGCTTGCTCATTCTCACCTGTACACAGAGGGTGCTTAAATGTCACAGAGTATAATCAGGTAGAAAAACATAGTTAAAAAGAAAGAAAGCCCATTGACAATAGCAATCAAAAACAAAATCCTTGGGAATAAAGCAAGAAATGTGTAGGCTATGTAAGAATAAAGTCTTGAAACTGTTCTCTGAAGAATAAGAAGAAAATTGAAAAGAGAAAAATCATACACTGCAAATATTTAGAACTTGGGAGTTGTTGATTTTCTGGAAATTCTTCTAGAAAAGCAATGCATTTCTAACCAGTCTGACAAAACGATTCTAAACTTTACCTAAGAGATTAATTTCAGAAAGGAATTATGTCCTTATAGAGAGATACTGATACGTTTATAAATACCTGAAACCATATAGAGGAAACGAAAGATAGAAAGATCCAAGGAATTGAATCGAAAGTCAAAACCTGGCAAGAATATTCCAGAATTCAATGCAAGGCTTGCTTTTCAAATCAGTGGGAAGAAAGTGGTAGACCCTCCATTTTATACCACAAGTCCAAATGTCTTATGAATTAAAAATGTAAACGTAAAACTAATGCTGGCATAAGTAAACCTATAACGCAACGTCCAAAATCTTAGTGTGAGGGAAATGCTGCGCAAGCATTGGCAGAGCAATAGCACTGAGCAAGACGATTAACTTGCCACATAAACGTGAAAAACCACCACTACAGCACATGGAAAACTGCTAATGGTAACCATTCTGTCTCTGAAATTGCTCAGCTACCTTCAAAGGGCCCACTCTCCTAATTTCTGTCCATCCCACTACTGTTCACAGTCAACTGATGCCTGGCCACTTCGACGATGACCAGGTTTGGGACATACTATTCTAGTCCCTGGAAAAGTTCTGGTGGTGCTGTCCATGGCTGCAGCCATAGGATCAAACATAGCAGTGATTGTGAGGCTGTGGCAGGCCCAGGCAGCATTTCTTCTGTTGCATACAGGATCCTTGTGAACACACCCCGGCCGTGGATCTACCTCTTCTGGACTTACAAATGAAACCAAACAAGCTATGCTCGTGGGTGTGTTTGTGTGTCTCCTTTTATTGAGCGTAACGTTTCCAAGGCTTGTCCACATTGCGGCATATATCAGGATTCCATCCCTTTTTATGACTAGACATTAAATGTTTCAGTGTAAAATAAACAAAACAAACAGAAACAAAACCAAAAGAAAACCCACAAGCTGGAGAAACACCCTCTAACAGTTAATTTAAAAAAAATGTTTAAAGCTAACAAATACAGCCACATACACAAGTAGTATTGCTGAAATAAAGAGCTCCTACAAAATAAGTAAAAATTATCATTCCAATAGGAAAAATTAGGTAAGAGGCATAAATACGAAAGTCACTAAAAAAGTATCAATGGTCATAAACCAAGAAACATCAAGTGTAACTTCATTAATAATCAGTTAAGTGCAAAGTAAATCCCACCCACCCCGCCCCGCTGGATAATGTGATATCATTCTGTGCTTGGTCCATAAAACACTCTTAAATCCTGGATGTGGTGAGAGCTGCGTATAGCCGTGGCAACCAACCCAAATGTGTGACAAGGGAACTTGGTAAGGTACATTGTGATACAGACACATAGTTGACAACAATCAGTCAACACAATGACCAGGAGGCTTCAAAAAGCAGTGGGAACATGAGTGTAAAAGTGACGATCCGCTCTGTAAACCTTCATCCAATTCACAATAAAAAGTTAAAGAACAAACACAAAGATGTGGAACTTTCCCACAGACTTTTGGAAGCCTCCTCATATATGAATATATAAGGAATTTTCCATCCATGAAAAACAAGGCAGGCTGCCTAAGAGCATAAAGAACATTAATTTGGGGCAAAAAAGAAAAATAGTTAAAAGCAGCATACAAATGCTGGCAAGATGTATGCCTAAATGTTAACCTGCTTATCTTTGAGTGGCTCCGATTGTAGGCGATTTTCTCTTTTTTGTACACTTTCAGTTAAATAATGGCTGTGTATTATTTTTATAGCATGCCAAGGAAAGCTTTTTTGTCAATCACTTGAGTGTCACTCATGTTTTTCAGCTGTCAGACAGTCCAACTGCCCTTTCCGTTGGACAGGCAGAAGAGAAAGGCTCAGGGGACACCACTCAAAGGGAATGACGGAGACGCTTTAGGTAACACCAGAGCACCATGTAGTCTTCCAAATCACATCGCAGTAAGGAAATGGGATCATGTCTCTAAGGCGTGGTCCCTGCCACAGCTGAGACCTGCAGATAAAGACTGCACTTCTCAGTAGACTGTGGGGTAGACTAGAACAGTGGATGTGGAGGTTCAAGATTAGCGACTCTCCAAGACTTTAAGGTCTGAATTCAGGAGAGATTCGAGTGCCCTAACGTATGTGTGTAAAGCAAAGCATGTGTGGACACAGCACCTGAGGTAGGGAACAGGAGCCCGGAAAAACCAAGGATCTTGAACAACTCGTTTCAGTGAGTTTCAATAGCCAGCAATCTCGTATACTACTACAAGCTTACTCTCTCCTTTTAGCTTGGATCCTATTAGTAGTTCTAAACAAGCAATTTTAACTTGATTTGAATCAATCTGTGCCAACAGGTGGCCAACAGATCTCTAGAACGTCAAGATTTAAAATCTTCAACTGAAGAGATGTTGTGTGCAGATAAAATACTGTCTCAAATCAGAGGTGGGGTGGTGGCATGTTCTGTGGCTTTATTACCAAAAGCAGCACCTTAAGATCATTTTGTAACTGAACAATTTTGCACATATGAGGCAGACTAGCAAAAGAAGCTCCATTTGTGTCAGCTGCTAAGTAACTTGCCCGTTCCTCCCTCCCATCTCAGAAAGTTGGCTGCTAGTTGACCTGCCTGTTCTCCCTCCCCTGGTGGGAAAGTCTCTGCTCGTGATTAATTTTAGAATGTACTCCCATGTTCCCAGGTTCTGGACACCACAATTAGTTTAGACTATTCTTCAATATAGCATTTGTTCTGATTCAGTATTGTTCCCTTGGATGTTGCAATCTGAATGGTGTAGTTAATCTTGTCACGATAGCCAGGTGTGACAATATAGTTTTGTTAGGGTGACCAGGATGTAATCATCAATTTTGGTATTGTTTCTTTTACGATAAGAAATGAACCTTGGGGGGAGCGGGGAGGGAGGGGAAAAATGAGGACCTAATGTCGGGGGTTTAAATGGAGAGAAAATGTTTTGAGAAACGATGTACAAATGCGCTTTACCCAATTGATGTGTGTATGGATTGGGATAACAGTTGTATGAGCCCCTAATAAAATGTTAAAAATAAATAAATAAATAAATAAAAAAGAAAAGAAAAGAAAAAAAAAAAAGAAAGAAATGAACCTTATAATGCATGCTTACTCGTCTTGAAGTTACAATTAATCCATTAATTTTGCTTTCTGCTTCTGTTCATGCTTGCTTGAACCCTAAACAGATGATAAATGAGTTTTATGGCCTTAAAGATGGACTGAAATTTGGACTTGGGACTGCAATCAAAGAATCGATTTTAGATTCTGGCAGTCCAGTTAGACTAAAAACTCTTCTAAATTATCAAGACATTATAGTAGTGGCTGTCATTTATTCGAATCCATAACAGATACTGATTGTTTTATACCGGACAACAAAGTATCAGAATCATCCCAGCCAACATCTTAAAAAAGCGTCATAAACTATCCAAGCTTCCTTAGGTCGAGAGTCTTATATGATGGTGTAACCTCAGCATGAATGCCAAGTTCAAGGTTGCTGTTATTTAAGGTAATCTTCCACTGGTGTTTGAAGAAGACTCTGGTACATTTGAAACAAGACTAGATTGACATTGAGAACATGGGCACCAGTTTTTACTTCTTTTCTACTGCCACTCAGTCAAATCTGACCATCTCGATCTGATACAGGATTTTTGTGACTCCATCTTCATGAGCAGGCGGCCTCCTATTTCTCCCTCACGGCACCCGGTGGGTTTGAAACGCTAACCTTTCAGTCAGCAGTCTAACACCAGGGCTCTGTAAGCAGGCTGCAAACCTGCAGAAAAGTCTGAAGCAGTGGGCAGAGAATTTTCTGGAAGGCCTTACGTTTTATAAAGTACTTGGAACAGTAGCAAGGCACACATCCTCCTCCGTTTTCTCTCCGCCACTGTCAAAGGTGACCTCCATAAATCAGCTCGGAGATGGCACGAACCACTTAGTTCTGTAACTCGAGCCTCTGCAGCTGACAGGCCCATCATCCACTTCCGCTGGCTGCTCCTCTCACCTTCCCGACTGTAACCAGAGTGAGCCTGCGATGCCTCTTCCGAAAAGGGGCCTTGCACCTGGGACCCAGCCCCCACCCTCCAGCCCCTCCGCCACGCCTAACGCTAAGGGGGCCTGAAGCTCACAGGCCTTCGGGCCGCGGCTGGAGAGCACTGTCGCCAGGCTTGCTCAGCACTGCATGGTTTGGAGGATCAGGATAACAAAGGGGACCTTTACTAGCGCTGGGGCTTTGTGCCCCTGACATAAATGCTCTCAGACTCAGTTTCCTCCTTGGTAGAACGAGGACCACCAACATGCCTACCCTGAAGGTTTGTTGTAACGATTATGTAAGATGTAGTTGAGTCCGGCTTACTGGCACGTCTCGATAGATCCAAACACCACAAT